GCAGCTGGGCGTAATCGGCTCACTGCCACGTCCACAAAAGCGCCATTAAACGAACACGTATAAAGTGCCATAACTAAGCACATAATTAAAACAGGAAAATGTAATTTGTTACAGGGAAACGCAGTAAAGAGGAACACCTGCCAGCTAAAAAATGTTTATAACATATACCCCTAAATGGTTTAATGTACGTTTCTCCCAAACCGCTAAGGTTAAATTAACCAAACTTGCTTAAAGGAAGTTATTTTAGCACTTCTTCATATACTGTGAAAATAGGTAAATCAGATTATAACCACGCCTACTCCCCATATATAGCGGTTATGTTGGAAAACTGCTAAGAGTGCGATAACTCCAAATATAAATACGCCACAAGCAATTAATTTCACAACAAAGATGGTATTGTTAAGTTTTAGAAGATACGGTGAAAAAAATGAACATGAGTGTGAACAGTGAAAAATGAAGTGAAATTCTATATCTTAATAACTACTTTAATATATGTATTTTCGAACTTACGGTTGTCTTTGTACCGCATCTATCGCTCAATATGTAAGAAATCTTAATTAAATTCCGAAAGAATATCTTTCTAATAATAGTGTATCTATTGTACTTGCCTGTGTCTGTTATAGACATAAATCCCGTTTAACACTTTACCTGGCGAGAGTATAAAATGTTCGATTACATTCGAACTTAGTCCTTGCTTACTTTTTTAGTTTTTTAAGTTCGATGAAAATCAGAGACCCTTTAACCACTTATTATACGTTCTAATAAAACATCGTACCAGAGAGACTCAGATCTACTGCCTAGCCCTAACGAAAACTTCATTACGTTATTATTAAATGTTACGTATAGACCATTCCAAATTCTTTGTTACCGTTGTATTGATGGATTAAGTTTCATCGAGGCACAGTTTAGTTGGTTGAAAGAAGCGGCCAAAATAACGATTAATCGCAAGTGGACACATTTAACCTATCCCTAAACTACTTGGACTCCAACTTTGAACTTAATAACATGCAGGGTCCCGATTAGCTTTGTCAAAACTACCTAAAACTACCACTTACAGATCTACAGATACACTAGACTTCATCATAGGCCTAAAGCAACTAGTAGTTTCTTTTATTTATTCTTATACACATATGCCCTACATGACAACAATTCGAAGTCCTAACTAAGCCATACAACATATACCATTTTCGGTGAGAGAAATAACCGCAGAGTTGGAACTATCATTTGCACTTGTAGTCAAAGAATTAGTTCATTCTTCCGCAAACTTGCAAAAAATTACAATACTGCTTTAAATATTAAAAAATGTGACAGAAAGAGAATCCCTTCCTCGTTTTCAACTTAGTTGTGGGCTTGATCGGCCTTTGACCCAACACCTGAGAAGAAAATTCTTTATTCTAGAGTACTCTTAGACCAGAAATGTCTTTGTCATCGTTTTTAATCCATATTCACAGTGACATTTCGTTATCGCTTCAACCTAACCTATACCAACCGCCTAACTTACAGTAAAACTAATAAACACTCTTGTCAACATACCAACTTTTTTTAACTAAGTAGGCAACTAAAAAACAAGCAATCAAAGTAATCATTCACATTTCTGAATCAAAATCATATATAAGCAAAATATTTTCTTCTTCAAAATTTCTACATAAAATTTCTATTTCTCGCCTTCAAGCAAAAACAAAAACAAACACAAAACGTCGCGCCATTAGTTCGCGCAAAAATCAAGGATAAACGGGCTTCGTTGCCGTTGACAGTTCGTTCAGCGCTGCAAAAATGCACATTCCATGCCCCATTAAGTTCGGTGAGCCCGACAGTCGCGACAACGACATGAGCGCGTATTCCGACTACACGCGGGTCCTGGCACACGGACTCCTAATGCTCACCTACCATTGGAATCGCAACAATTTGCAAGCAGCACCATACTTTCGACGCCCGGTAACCGCACCTGGACCACAGGCGCGCCATAACCACCACCAATACAACGAACCGGAACGGCAAAAAGCCAATGGACGACGCATTCTACAGCAAGGCCAACGTACAAAAATGCAACGCGTAAGAAACTGGTTGCGCGCAACCCGACGGCATGCGGCTGAGAGGCCACTGCAGTCACCGCAAAGGCCGCTGCTGGACGAGGTGCACGCAACGGTCGGCGATGGACCGTTGGTTTCGGCATAAAATGGAAAATGGCACTGATGGAAGGAGGCAGCAATATGAAAGCAAATGGCGGCGCAACAAAAACAGCGCCCAAGTACACCAGCATTCCTGCTGGAGTTGAGTGGGTTGAGAAAAGTGATTCCAATCAAATATATGCGCGAAAATATTTTAAAGCAACCATTCACGCGCACTTGCATGTAGAAAAGCGAAGCTCAACCGTTCGTATACGTAACCTTGCACCAGAAGTGCACTGCAGTGAAAAAGCAGTTTGCTCACTCGCCGGCGAAAATAAATGAAAACAACGCAGCGTTAGGGAATAATGTCTGCTCACATAGACTCACAGCCGCAGCGCCAGCTTCTCAACCACAGTGTGAAGCAGGAGCGGTAGTGTGAAGCTGGGGCGCTTACGTAGGAGTAATCCCGCCGGAATCCGGTTGCTTCATTCACTTCTTGCACTTTTGGCCTAATTGAAAAAAATTGCAGCTAACACACGCCGGCGGGCAGCAATGATACTAAAGCTATCTATCCAACGCCTCGGCTGTTTATATCTATCTATCTGTATAGTATACCGGCGGATGTGAGCACGGGTTTAAAAAAATACCAACATCTAATTGGACTGAAAGTTTAGTGCTGCAAAACTTCAACTGGTAAAGAGTTTTTGTTGTAAAAAAGTCTCGAAAACAAAATTCATACTTTTAATAAAAATAATTGCACAACCATAAAATAAATAATAGTACAAACCACAATTGCAATTGAGTATCAAACTTGAATTTTTTGACTGCTGTAGGCGAGCGGATATGAAACTAACACGTAGTACTTTAAGTACATTACTTATATGGAAACAACTTCCTAAAAAACAAGTAAGAAAGAAAGCTTGCCAAATACGCAACGAAACAGTTTGTTATCAGCTCAGTTGGGCTTAAAAGCAAATATTGAGGTTGGACATTTTAAGAGAGAGAGAGTTAGACAAGTCTAAGTCTTAAAAAAAAATTAGTTTTTCCGCTTAAAATATACATAACAGTCCTAAAATGCTTTCTAAAAGTGCCTTTTGAAATTTTAGTTGTAGATTCACAGTAACATTTATTTTGTAAACTACGTGCGCTTTTTTTGGTTACACAAACTTTTTTAAAGATTCCTTTTTTATTTTGGTTCACATAACAGGAGTTTCTAGTGTTCACCGTTGCCTGTACCTGTATTCCTAGAAAAAAGATGATTCTGAAGATTGGCACATGAGAGGAATTTGATTTCATTATTCTTCTCTCAGAATAAATTTTCAAAGTTCGGTATTTTTTGAGGGTTCTCACGCCTTAGATATTAAGGATTTTAAAATTAAGTTACCTCTACACTTTATTCAGTTTTAAAAGTTTTCATGTCGATTAAGTATGATCTGAAGAAATTTTTCTTATATTAAATCTTTATACGAATATAAAACGATTTGAATTACCATGAGAATTCGTCTATTTACCTAACCTTCTACAATTGAAAGTTTATCGGCCGAGGAAAATAGTAGCTATCTATCTTTTGTTACAACTTGTGCAAAAAAATAATTTCTTCCAGTATCAATAATGCTATTTCTTTCTCCCCTATGGAACAAGCTAAATCACGTAATCCTCCTAATTTACTCTGATCTTCTCTGATGAATTATTAATAATAAATTTTTTGACGTTTTTGGCGAATATGTTAAAAGTTGATCAGGTCTCCTTTGAATATCATTAAACACTCTTTAAGAGAACATAAAGTATCTAAAAAAACTTTTTCTTTGAGTGATTGCGAAGAAAATGTCAAATTTCGCCAGTAATGTGAAATTACTCATGAATGTTCAAGTACCGGTGGTATACTGTTGATTAATTGTTTTGAAATAAAATTTAAGATTCATATTTGCTTTTGTTATTCTCTACAATGTCGCTTTCCCCTGCAATCTTGCAATAGTTGTAAACTTAACAAAGATTTGTCCTACAGTGTTGATCGCCATAATAAGGATATGGAAAAGTTTTTCAAAATTCCTGAAAAAATATAGTTTTCTTTATTTTTCAGTGAAAATATGAATAATTATGTGGTCAAAAAGGTTGGCGTATGAAACACGAAGGTGGTTCTTTCAATGTGTGAAAACCCCCCCAAAAAAAATAGAAAATACTGTATAGTCTTTAAAATGTTACACATAGGTAATTTGCTATTTGAAGTTTTTTTTCGACCCTAAAAATATTAAAGTGTAACTAAAGGAAATTTAAATAGGAATAGTCATGCCTCAATGAATTTGTTTAAAAGTTGTTTGTACTTTTTTAACTACTCTTGAAGCGACCACCATGAAATAGTGATTAGAAGTGTCACACACAGCTAGCATTTTACAGAACCTGTATTCAATAATAGAGTTTACTAATATCCACAAAACCAAAAGTTTTTTTGAAGGTTATATTTGCTATAAAGGTAAAGATTACCTTCGAAGTGAAGTTCTGCTATGACAAAACTTCCATAAATACCACCTAACACCTTTCTGCTTGTCCTTCGACTGAACTAGTTTTTTTATTTAAAAGATCACCACTGTATATGTGCATATTCACATGTAATATAATAAGTTGATTTTCTATTTCACCTCACTTTCCAGACATGCTTTCTTTGCAAGCATATCCCTTTTTTATGCTTATACGCATAACCACTTCAAAGTTGCTCCTCTCATATTTTAACAACGCACTAATACATGCATATGAATGTTTCATATCAACATGCTCTCGACAAAATTCATAATGAGCCAAATAACGGAGTGAGTGCACTAGTTTGCCACTCAGAGCCATATTTTATGGAAGTAGGGTTATGTGTATGAGCATCACAGACTCTTTTCTTAGACTTACCGACTTCAATTGCATTTAAACTTTTTGCCTAATTCTGCAATCATTTTTTGCCGTCTGCTAATGAACCAGTTTGGCAGCTCTTCTATAACTTCTTCATGAGCTACTTTGCGAGGCATGCATACAAGTATATAAGATGCACTCATGTTTACGCTTCACCTGACTTTTAGTAGAAGTTTACATAAGTGGAAAATTAGCAGATTGACAATCCTACTTGTTGTCCATACTTTTGGTGAAACTGATTTTCTTGAAACGGTTTGTTTTGCTTCTTATCGAGTTTGAAAACCAATGATTTTTAGAATGAACAAAAATTCGAATAATAAAAAAAAGGTGGATCTAGCTGTCACAAATATGAACTTTTTTTCAAAAAAAAGATGCAATCATTTCATGCCCTTCTTTCAACTTCCTGGATCACTACCAAATTTTCTTCAATAAAGCACATTTTCAGGCTAAAGTTTTAATTTTCTGGTTTTCATACTTCAAACTGTGAAAATCACATACATCGTCTTCGATTTTCTACAGTAGCAACCGCCTACTCACAAGTAAATAAAATACAAAATAAACCTCAGGGAAATCAAAATTGCCAACTCTAAAGAGCAATAAATGTAAAATGGACAAAACACATGAACTTTTAAACGTAGATATATACATATAAACACACATATTTACGCGCGCACACTTAAACACACACAAAAGCACTTTCAAGCAACGAAAGCAGTATTCGTTTCATTTCTTAAACAAAAAAAAAAAAACAACTTAAACGAAATATATTTTCGGACATTTTCTTACGAAACTTTGTGTGGAGTGGGAATTCGCTGCAACCATTTCCTTGTTTAAAATATTAAAAGCAGTTCGCTATGAAGTAAAATACACACTTATGCAAGATTTGCTATGTTTATAGGTATGTGAACTCACCGCAATTATGCTGAAATCACGAAATAGTTTGAAACATTAAATGGCTCCTTAGGGCTTATTTAGTGCTAAAAGGTTGACAATAGTCTTGGTAATAGCAGGAAATCATAAAATCTTCGCATATATAAGTAAATAAGTACATATAAACTTACACACAAATGATTGTATTTTTTAATTTATTATAAAGAGAGTAGTTTTATTGCGTATACGCCATGGCATAGCTAACTTTTCTTGCTGCTGAAGTTCTATTAAAAATTAAAGTTTATAGTTGTGGTTTTGAACACTATTATACATATTGACACGTATTTATATGAAGAGTAATTTTCGTTAGATACATCTACCGATTGACCACTTTTTAAAAAATTTAACGTCAAGCCAAGAGTCGCTAAAGAGGTGCTAAAACAACACCCTCGGCGATCTTGATGAAAAGAGACCCTTACCTCCTTACGAAAATCAATCTTCTTCTTCAGGAACGATCATCGCAAAATTGAGGCCATACAAAAAAAAATTGCTTGAAGCAATTGAGAGGCAAGCTCGAGCATTATAACAAGTGTGTGATAAATTGAAATAAAAATCAAAATGTTTATATTGAATTAAAACAAGTGTATTTTTAAGGTGGCGATAATAAAAAATTGTATTCAAAGTAAAATAGCATATTCTTTTTAACAATCTGAGACAAATTTTATCAAACGATATGTTTGTACGTATATATATGGTAAATATTTAACCCGTAAGCCCAACTGTATTAGTTTCGAAAAGCAAAAGCTTATTTTTATCACTTTGATTGCCTTGAATTATTGTCGAATTTTTACTGCCTGCTTTTTACTACTACTACACTACTATAAAAATTGACAGAACAGAGCTTTAGTTTAAATGGCGAAGATAACCTGATGCATACCAGACCCATTCCATAAAATTATTTTACAGTCGTAAATACTTTGAAGCAGCATTGTGACTTTTTATTTTACAAACAATTTTACAAATACAACACAAAAGAGGTTTATAGTAATAGGACCACAGTAATAAAGTAAAACCCAATGAAAGTATCAAACAATATTTTTTTCAGAAGACTATACAGTAAGGATTGTCTTAAAGGCGGCTACCATAATACTAGTAAGAATAATACAGTATTTGATGGGATTTTAATAGAATCTAAAAACCAAATATTTGAATATTGTGTAAACTTGAGGTTTTGCATCGATATCGGAGGATTTTGACGTTTTACTAATTTCTTTGCAATTTTGTCAATTCAAAAATAAAAGCTTTCAGTTAGGCAGAAATTCAAAAATACAAAAACTAAAACACGATCTTGATGTTTATTATGGGCGTGGCAATAAAAGTTTTATTATTTACTTTGTTAATATTACTCGCTCAGAGAAGAAAGTAAAGCAAAATACACACATTCCTTGTTTTAAGACGTAATTCAAGTCAAGAAATTTAAAAAAAAAAATTATATCTACAAATTTTTTTACATTTCGATGGTTTAGATATTCACAAATATCTCTCCTACAGAATCCTTTGAAAATCAAATTATTTTTAAAGTTACAGTCGTTTTAGTGACGTGATTTTTCAGATATCTTTTTATCGTATGAATCTACGAAACTGAAAATTTCTAATGTGTAATATTTTTAAAAATTCGGTAGAATTAAAAACAAATTCATGGAAAAATATGCATTTATTTTTGAATATTTTGAGCAGGCATTTTATGAACAATATTTTTTTTGTGTTTTTGTATTCTCTTGAATTATTGTATGAATAAACAAATCATAAAAAATGGATGGCAAGAATATCAATAGCCAAAAAAGCACTCGAAGTTAGGGCTTCTAGAATAGAAAAGCACCTTAAAGGGAACTTATTTTGCTCTTCTTCGGCAATTTGAACTTAGCATTTTTTTAGTCTAAACCCAAGATACATTATCAATATAATTGCTTTCCACTCGAAGAGGCCCTTAAAATATAAGGCCTTCTCGCAAAAATGTTGTTCATAAAACACATTTAATTAAAATTGGTTTTGCATTTATATCAGAATTTATGTGCATTGATTTATTGCAAGCTGACCGCATTTAAAAATCTCTTTAAAACATTACTTGTATACGAGTATATTTTGACTTTTTGGAACTAATGGTGCTTCTTCTATCAATAAAAGTATTTACGATTATATGCAATTATTCCGGAGCTCTCCCACGAAACACGCCTCTATACCTAAACATATGCAAATATCTCTGTATACTTTAATTTGTATGGTCTATTAAAGTACCTACTAAATATTTACAAACGAAATAAATTTTATACTTTTAGGAAACATGTTCCCAACAAGTCGCAGGAAAGAGGTGCCTCGTAAACATTGTTGCCTGTCGTCATTGTTGTTATAGATTTCACATTTTATCGCTTTTCTTCGCAGCACACAATGTAAACTTTTATTGTTAGCAATGAGAAAACAAATAAATACCGAGTTGTAAAACATTTGGCAACAAAGGCGTAACTATTTCTACACGTACTTGGAATTCACGGGAAAATTGTATTAACTATACGTCAAACTTATTCGTCTATTGAATTGGCTGACACGCAAATTATCTTTACTAAAGTACTGTTTAGCGAACTATTGTTATTTCTTAGTTTTAGGAAAGCTTGTATGATGGCTTTTGACCTTAATAAGGACTAAGAAAACAAGTTTTTTAAAAAGCTACACCTGATGAAAGACCAAAAAGAGGCAATAAGGGAAAACAGTTGGAAAATAACTGACTCTCACTGTCTTAGAACATTATCAGTGCTTACTGCTCTCTGAGATTTTCTAATAAGCAGTCACTTTATAGTAGAGAACAACGAATTGTTCTTAATTACCGCAGAAAAATTCCTTTTCTTCGTTCACGTGTGAGTTATACCTCATGAAAATGACTTCCATCACATCCTCTCTTAAACCTACTGTCTTTCAGATTTGATAGATTGTCTCATTTTGAACTAAAGACTAAATTCATAAATACCGGTTATATGAGCCTACTTTACAACAAAGTAATATTTTTCAATAATTCAGCAATATTCCAAAAAATGCCTTGGAACAGTGAAGTGCTTTCTTTCAAAAAGCGATACCATTATCTCATCCGCAATACCATTTTCAAATTTAAAACGGTTCTGAAACCCAAATTGATTAAATTTTAAACTACAGTTGTCGTTGATAACTCTAACTATGTTTATTTATCGGAAAAGATAGGAACACAAAGTGCAAGAAGTTACTGAGTTCTTTAGGATCTCAGTAAAAACAAGAAAAAACGTTATCCACCGTTGCACCGAAGCTATATACCATTACCCAAATACAATAGATTTCTTGCACGAACTTGATTCTGAATGTTTAGTTTGTAGGAGAGATACATGCTATATTGATCCGATCTGAATAATTTCTTCGGAAATTGCAATAAGCCTTGCTTCGTGAAGATATCTAGTGAAATAAAAAATTTCTCCATACAAGGACTTGTTTCCGCTCGTTCAGTTTGTACGGCAGCTATATGTTATGGTGATCCGATATCGGCGGTGCCAACAAATGATCGATATCTCAAAAACTGAAGGACTAGTTCCCCGCATATACAAACAGACAGGCATGGCTAAATTGACTCAGTTCGTCACGCTGATCATTTACCTAAATACTTTATAGAGTCTCCGACGTTTTCTTCTGGCTGTTATAAGCATCGTGGCAAACTTAATATACCCTAATCAGGGTATAAAAAGCGGCAATGGTTAGTGAAACATAAACACAAGGTTCACATCACTTCCAGAAAATTATTCATTGGTTGTGTCAAGATCAGAAAAAATATATCACATAAAATGACACGAATCTTGAAGCTCCCATTCATTGAACTTTTTCCAGAAGCTGAAACGAGATAATTACATGTTGACCCGTAAAGAGTATCGCAGAAGTATCATAACGTACTAGAGCTGCAGTAGACGTCCAAAAGAAATTAATGCGAATGAAAACAGCATAAAAATCACGAAAGGACTTTAAATGACTGTAATAAGAGCTTAGAGGAGTGGAGCTGATACAAGAGATCAAGGAATGGGTTGTAGATAATGTTTATGTATAAAGTATTATATAATAAGCTTGTAGGATACTTGATCTTTAAACTATTTTTTAGATATAAAACAAGGTTCTCTTCTGTTATTTTGTAGGTGGCT